CCAGCAATCCTAATTGTAACTAAGGAGTATTAATGTGATCAAGTGACTAGGGCTTTACTCTGGGACTCAGGAGACCTGGGTTCTAGTCTCAGTTGTGCAAGCGACCTTGGACAATTGCTCCTTGCTTGTGTCTCCTTCTGTAATGGATAATAATCATACCTGTGACTAAACATTTTTTCCTAAAAACAAATAAAAGGCTGTCCCTGGACAAAATCATACATGCCAAGTTTTAGGTTGGAAAGAATTATCATAGTCAAGTTATAAACGTCTACCTACAAAAAGCACTAATATTAACTATGGTCCCAATCCCACACTGTGATCCTCATGAGCAAACAAACGACTGTGCTCATACAGTGCCCGTTGATTTCAATGGACTCTGAATGGGCTCAGCAGTCCACCCAGGCAAATCATCCTGCAAGATTTAGGCCTATAGCAGCATGAAATTAAATGGGGTTTGCAAATGTGTCTGGACCAGGTTTCATTTATAAGACGGACCCTGCCAGGCATAGGTGCTAGAAGTAGGGGTGCTGCTGCACCCCCTGGCTTGAAGTGGTTTCCGTCATATACAGGATTTACAGTTTGGTTCAATGGCTCTCAGCACCCCCACTATACAAACTGTTCCTGCACCCCTGCTGCCAGGCCCAAAATTTAGGTTTTTCTGATGGTGTTGGCATGGTGAGAATTTTACAAAACTTACTATTAATCTTTTTTTTTTCAACATTAAAACACAGCGGGGGATTAGGAGACTATTCAAAGTTTTCCTCTGCAGTGCTCCAAATGCAATAGCGACGTGCTACGCAATGAAACTCACCAATTTAGATAAACTGTCCAAACTGACTAGAATAAAAGAAGCAGCTCTCCATTTATGTTGGTTACATCTTTTTTTCCTTTGAAGTAACCATATAATTATACCTAAAATTCAATACAAACTATGTAGACAAAAATCATCCTAAATGGTGAAAGGCAAATTAGATTACCAAAACAAGGAGCATAGAGAAAAATATCTAAGGTATTACCACTACACAAAGATTTTTACGGTAATTTATCTTGACAGTATGCTTTCAACTTTTGCTCTTTTCCTAATTGAGCAACAGTACAAAACACTTTAGAGTTTCACTGTTAAGCATGTTTACTTTTAAAAAGGGGAGTGGAGCTGTGTGGGGAAAAAGAAAGCCTCCAGCTTTGCTTAACCTGAACTATAACCCCATCTATCAAATCGGTATTTTCAGGTGAACAACAAGCAAGCCATTATACCTGCTTAAAAAGCATAACCTTAAAACACCCCTCTCCCAGATTCAGGTATAGCTCAAATACCAAGAACTGCATGGCAGCTGGTCCTTTTCACTATCACTGGATCCATGAAGGTCACGAAATAGAGGGTCTTTTTCAGGAATGGGATTTTTGAAGAATAGATATTTGATCTAAACACACTTTTTTAAAAGCAAATAATTTAAAACAACCTGTCTCTGTAGCAAAAGCTAATTGCCATATTAAATTTATCTGCAAAAAGAATTCACTTGTTAAACACACTATCTACCTCGGTGAGTCCATGGCTACATTCTTTCCCATAGCCTCTTGATGTCCAATGATGCAAATCCACGCACAACCTGATTATTTTTCAAGAGAGTTTGTGATAGTGCATGGTTCACTTGCTTTTCACCCCTAGAGATCAAGTTTCAAATTCTGAATAAGAGTCCCCTCTATATATTTGTTCACATCACAAAGTCATCACAAGTGCACATTTAGCATAACTGGCAATTTTTGGTCAAGAGAGCATGGAAGTAAAACAACAAGAGCTGCACATTGGGAATGCAGTGGACTGGCTGAGTTGTGTGGGAGACACTTCATCATTTTTATCTCCACCATCAAGAGTGTTTAGGTGTTTCAGAGAATGTAAGAAGACAAGGCCTCTGATTTGAAGAGCTTACAATCTAAACAGAAATCTACAGATGAAGGACAGGAGACAGCAAACAACAAAAAAGTGAAGGGACTAAGCTGTGATGTTTTATCACATCTATCTAGTTGCTTTATTTGTCTACATTATTTTATCCATCACCAGTTTTGTTCATGCTTCTTTAACCATCACCCATCTGCTTGCTACCAAGTTCATTCTATTTTTGGTTTGAAAATTAGTATATATACCCATTTTTGCAGCAAATATTTAGATAGCGTATTATAAGTAACCATGGCAGATAGCAAGTGGGTACACAGCTGCGTGTTTAGGACAGAAGTGAAACCGAGAACGTCATCCACATGCATGCGTATACAGAGTCATTGGGCATTCAACGGGAGAAAACGGAGATCACACAATGACGTTTAAATAGGCAAATAAATAGCTTTACAAAGATATACAAAAATTATCGCCATTATTATTATGCAGACGCAGGCGGCTGTCTGACTTTGCAGATGTGACCTACATAAGTTACAGTAACCTCTTGGCAAGCCCTAGCCAAACACACCCAGATGGCAGCTCCCCTCTTACATATTCCCACATACACCCACAGCTAAGGGAGCAGCTCCTCTCTGTTCAACTCCCTTCACACAGTATCCTTGTGGAACTGGGGGAGCAATTCCCTCCTCTCTCTGTTCACACTGTAACTCAGGCTGAGGGTACTTCCCCATATCTCTGTCCCACACCCTGAGCCCAGGGGAGCACCCCTACCTTCATAGGCCTGGAGCAATTCTCTCTCACCCCCCCCCAAGGGATGCTCAGCCCTGACCCCCCCCCACACTCTTTTATACCCATCTCCTACACAGCCAGAGGCACAGCCTGAGCAACTACCCCAGAGTTGGGGAGGAGACAGCTCCTCAGTCACCACCCCAGCTGCCACCAAAACTCTTGACAGAGCCCCAGGGAGCTGGGTGCCAGTTTGGACAGGGCTCTCGATACTGGGGAGGGGGAGTACACAGCCTGACCAGAGAAGGGCTCCCTCAACCAGCGCAGGGGGATACATGGGGTAACTCGCCCGTCTCCGCCCTGGGGGTGGGGTGCCGGGGGCAAGTCCCCACTCTCTATGCCCCCCTCCCAGCCCCGGGTGGGGCAAGGGATGTCGGGGGGCAACTCCCCCCTCCCAGCCCCGGGGGTGCAGGGTATGGAGGGAACTCCCCCGGTGCCCCGGCTCACAGCCCGACTGACTGGTATACATGGGGCTCCCCCCTCTCTGTGCCGCCATCCCCGGGCCCTGGTGGAGGCTGAACCCCGGGCCGCCGCTCACTTACTCTGGGCCCCGGCGGCAGCAGCGGCAGCAGCACCAGCAACGCGCCCAGGCTGAGGAGGCAACGGCGGAGCAGGGCCCGGCCGCCCCGCTCCATGGTTCTGCACCGGGGGCTCAGCGGCGCCCGGCCGGCTCGGCGGCTCCCTGGCTGCGCCGCGGTGCAGCGTGTCCGGCCCCCCTGGCTCCGCGGGGCGGGGAAGGCCACCAACGTCACCCCCGGCAAAGGAGGTGGAGCAGACTGGGAGGGAGCCTGGCACGGCTCGGGAGGAGCCAGGGCGTACAGGGGCCATGCCCGCCGGCCGGCCCGTGGGGTGGGCTGAGCCAGCGCGTACACGGGGAAGCGCCCCCAGCCCCTAGCTGCAGACGGGGACACCGTTTCATTGCGCCCGGGCGATTCCCCCTGACCCTCATGCAGAGAGACAGCCACAGTGCTGTACTCACTTTCTCATTAGCCTCGCAGCTCCCATGAATGCGGCTCTCCGTAATGGGAGCTGAAAAGCTAGCGCAAAGTGCCTTTAAAACTCTCTGACTATTTGGGTGGTGGGGTGCACTGATCTAAACCGCAACTTTACAGATTAAAACAATTTACCTTTTAGAATGGCTCCGCAAAAGTTTGAATTTCACATATGAGAAAACAGTCTTCCAAAAATATGGAATATGGAAAGATTAAAATATGGAAACTTTGCAAAAATAAGCAAATACACTGGAATCAACCTTGTACAATATCTATGAAAAACAGCATGTTTAGAAAGTGCCTTATGTTTAATGAAAAGAAAACTCGTTTCTCTGGGCAGTTAAAATACATTTTGAAATGATCAACTGAGCCCACAAAAGAGAAATTAGGAGGACAGCAAATTCTGGAGTGGAGGTACTTTACCTGATTCCATTGTAGAGAGTGACTGTCTCCCTCTGCTGGGCAAAACATATCCTAGGCATCACAAGTCATGTATTAGATCACAAGTCATGTATTAGAGTCATGTATTAAAACGTACGATTTTAACAGAAAGAAGAACAGGAGTACTTGTGGCACCTTAGAGACTAACAAATTTATTAGAGCATAAGCTTTCGTGGACTACAGCCCACTTCTTCGGATGCATACAAGGTGCCACAAGTACTCCTGTTCTTCTTTTTGCGGATACAGACTAACACGGCTGTTACTCTGAAACCTGATTTTAACAGACAACTGCTGATGGTGATTAGCAAAATCATGTGAAAAAACGACCTTACTGCTTTTCCTACTTATTTAGGTGTGCATAGTGCTTTAAACACATACAGTAAACAAAACCGAGGTCACACCCCTTAGTAGTCACATAGAGGCCTGGTCATGGAAATTCTGCATAGAGAAGGGCTGGACTTTCTATGCAAGACGGATAACAGATAATGGCAACTGACCGCAGAGATGGGGGGAGTTCACAGGAAATAAGGGGAAAGAGAAAACTCCTCTTCGGTGAGGATCATTTATCAAGGAAGCCGAGTTTTGAATGGCCAGTGTAATACTGGACCGTTCACTATTTGGGATTTATGCATCTCCTCATTTAGTTGTCATAATCCGGAAATCCCTGCCCTATTAAAAAGCATGTTTCCCAGGGTCTCAGAACTGGTGTTTTTTTAACACAAGGCAGGCAGGACAAATGCTTCTGGTGGGGGAATCAAGAGAGCAATGGTCAGTGGGTTTGGAGCGGGTTAACCTAAGGGAGCTCTGGCGCCCACTGGTCCCAGGTGGGCTGGACGCTACCGGGTCTGACTCAGCCAGGCTTGGCCCAGCCAAGTTCAGCTATCGTTCCACCCACTAGCATGCGTCCGACCCAAGGCCCTGCCGCTGAGCCCGTCTCAGCCCCTCTGACCCCGGCCTAGTTCGAAACAGGACCGTTAGCTCACGGTGCTCTGGTGCGCACCAGCCAGATGCGGTTGGCGCCAGCCCCAGACCAACCGGCCCCGTGCGCTCCACTTTGGGCCTAACTGGCCCAATAGGCCCCGCCCCCTCATCATCGTCATCGTCATCCCCCTCCCTTCCCGCGGCCCAAATTGCGCGAGAACCAGCCGCTGACATCAAACGGTCACGTGGCCTGTGACTTACATTTTATTGGTTGCTGATGAGAAGGGGCGGCGCCTGTTGAGGCGCCCGAACTATAAATACCGGCGAGCGGCCTCGCTCCGCCTTTCTCTCTGCCTAGGGGAGCAGGCAGGGCGTTGGAGGTGAGCGGGGGGGTAGATGGGGCCGGCTCGGTATTCTGTAGCGAGGATAAGGCCTAGCGGCGGGGGCAGTGAGGTGACCCAGTGGGCTGTACCAGTGGCGGGGGGGGGGCGATGTATGGCTTGGGGCGGGCCGTTTGCTTTGGGGGGGAGAGCGGTGGCTCTAGGGATGGGGTGTCCCACCTGCTCCGGCAGTCGGGAGGGGAGTACGGGGGCGGTGTCCCGTGGTGGGGGGGGGTGTGGTTTGCTCTGGC